GCCACGCTAGTAGTAACAAGTGCCTTACTAGTAGTAACAAGAAGCTAGCTAGTCCTCTTCGCCCAGATGAAAGTCCTCCGCCTTCTTCAAGAGCACCGATGGCGCTGAGGCTTGTAACGCTGGCCTCGTCCGATCCGCCGGCCGGAATCGGAGGGTGAGAAGGGCCCTCGAATAACCACCAAGTACTGAACTTATACTGAGTAACAACTGTTCTGAACGGTGAAAAGAACATGGAACGTCATTGGAAGTGTCATTGGATTCTTTTCTTTTCCATCTCCAACTGCTGGCAGTGGCGTGCCCCTGGTCTTTTTCACACCCCCATACCATGGTATTTACGGCGTATTTCCACCTCGTATCGTATCTCTCCCATCCACGTGTCAACTCGACTGGGTGTCCCCGACTCGGCGCCCAAATGAGTGACTTGCTTCATGAGCCTCAAACGCACTCGCCGTGGCCCGCAGCGTGGACTGGCCAGGGGAAGGGCTGCGGGCATAGCCCTCTCTCAGTCAGCCGCAAAGCCACTGGGGCTTGGCCACTGACCAAGCGTGCCCTTTTGGGAGTTTTGATGTGGAAGTGGGGCAAACAAACATCAAACCTCCTGGAAAGGGGACGTGGAGACCCATCACCAAAGGACATCTCCAGTGCTTCACATTTCCCTTCCACACCTATGAAACCTGTGAATCGTATGTGATTCGTACATTTCTCTCTCCTATCCAGCAAATCCAACGCTGTTCAAACATTGTTCAATTGATGCTCCCCCAGTCAGCCGCGACGAGATTCGTTGCGAAATCCCATGGGATTTCAGTCAACTGAAATTCTGGGGGCTGAAGAGTTTGATGAAGTCCCACCTCCGCTGAACACCCATCTCCAGCTGATTGGATCTTCCCATTCACCACAGGATGGGGAGAAGTTTGGCAGAAACATGCTGGCTTGCTCCTTTTTCTAGGTGACAAAGAGAAGCAGTCCCTCTTGGTGGGGTGCGAGCCACCTCACATTGCTCACGTAGTTGTTCCACAAATCTTCAGTGATTCCATGACTGTCTTGTCTTCTTTCTAATCAGGAGGCAGAACAACCGTGTTCGGAACCATCTTCTGTGAAAACGCAGAGCCACCGTGAATGAAAGGTCAAACAAACAACATCGATGTGAGTTCCTCTTCTATCACACAAAGAGACCAGGGAATCGATGTCAGATATAGATATGCTCCCCATATGTCTACTCATGTCGGGCACCAATTGCTTCCGAACTCAAACGAATTTAATTTTCTGACTTGAGAGGAGGGAGACACGAAAGGTAGGACAGCGGGAAGAGAAGAGAACGCGAGAGGCAGGAACAAAAATGCAATGTTCGACATGGTGATTTATCCCCTCGGAGGCGACCTTTCGTAAATATATCATATGCACTTTAAATGTTCAAACATGTGCTCTCGAAATGTTCAAAAAGATTCTTAGGAAAACAAACTTGCCCCATGGCTCAGATCATCGGTGAGCATTGAATCGGAACATCATAGGATTTGAACTATCCTGAAACCATAAGAGGCTCACGAAGACGCTCCCCAGGAGAGAATTGACGTGCTTCACAAAACGTATCCCTCGGGGAACACCTTTCGTGATTAGAATTTCATATTCACTCTTTCTAAATGTTCAAGAGGGTTTCAACTATCCTGAAATCATGAGAGGCTCACGAAGACGTTCTCCAGGAGAGAATTGATTTTAGAGGGGGGG